TGGTGTTCATATTGGAAATGTGACTGACGACAGAATTCAGTCTTCACCAAAACAGAGGACTAGACACGTCGCACTAGTTACTAACTGGTGTTCAATCAACATATATGTATACTTATTAAGGGGGTTAAACTCCTCGTAAAAATTGAAAAGTTTTCTCTTTAGGGGGGCAATAATTAGGTGGTAATTTGGTAATCCAAGATAAAACACAGTGATAAGAATTCATAGGATTGGAGAAATCAAAATTTGATGTGGAATGAGAAGAGAAGTAGAAATCAAGAGACCAAAAATTAAATTTTAATATAAAAGCCAAGCCAGAAATGGGTTGTAATTGAAATAAAAACATTAATTGAGAGGACAAAGAGTTACCAATGCGAGGATTACCAGGGTTACTGAAGTTTTAAAACTGATTGTTTCCAAACATATATAAGTCAGGTTTTAGGCATTATATTGTGACAGACTAAGCGAACCGAAATAGAATTACACCGGTTTTTTTATCTGTTAATTATTTTGACTGCTTACAGTGCACCCACTCGGTTTTTTGTGTCTATCAGGTGTTTGGTAATTAACAGGTCCAAGCTATTTGCTGCCTTTAATCAAAGGCTCTTTAGCACATGTTCAAAGAATCTGATATAAGCTCCTGCTTTCTATCCCATCATTATAACTGTTCCCTCAGTTATACGTGAATTGATGAACCCAGTTACATGCCATATATGAAGTATGACTGTTGATTTTTGACTGTACCAGAGAACAGGATGTTCGGAGAGGAGAGACTACTTCTGCTGCTGTACACGTCCTGTTCATTGGTGCTATAGTTAAACTCATAATATCGTAACTTTCTGATATCATAGTGAGTTAAAATTGGTTTCTATCTGACTGTAATTATGTCTGGAAATATACATTATTTCTTTCTGTACTTTTTGATGAAATTTTGTAGATAGCGCTATTTTCCTCAAACACTTTTCAAGTAACATAAGTTCACTATCTAATTTGTCTGATGAACACTGTTGAACAACCCAAGCAGAAACGATATTTATGACTTAAACCATTGCATACAATGAATGCGTCGTTTACACGGTAGGCTATTGTTTCATCAATTATATATGAAAGATCTGTATATTCAGGGCTCACAATTGCTCATAATCATACCAATAGGCATATGGGCTTTATATGACCTTACTCCGTACGATTTCTTTGTTAGAATTTTGCATATATATTTAGAATAGGTTTGATGCATAGATATGTTCACTACGGAATCTCTGTTCATCGAATCAACATCAAACAATTGCGCCCTACATGACTCAACACACCTCTACAAGATATGTGTATGGAAAATGCATTAAAAAAACAGCAGGGAGTAAGACGATGCATAAAGCAAATCAAATAGTTATGTGAATACACTGATGTGATTATGGACAGCCATAAATTGTACTGGCAACATCATCCAAATATTAACACTGCATAACTCACTGTGTACTTTATTATTATTATAATTATAATTATAATTTATTATTATTCCCTTGCCTTCCGAGTGGAACACAGGGCTTCAACAACACATCTCCACTTTGTTCTGTTTTCTGCCCTCCTCTTCAGCCAGGTCCACAACGGACCCAGCTCTCTCATCTATTCCTTATGCGATCTCCTCCATGTCACCCTCACACAGACGACTCACTCTTTGCTTCCTATTTGGACTCCACTCGAGCTATTGCCTGGCGTGTGATGTAGTTCGGCGGCCCCCTCAATGAATGCCCGATCAATCCATCTCTACTTTCTCCTACATATTTCTTGAGCTATCAACTTTTGGTTGGTTTGTTCCCATAGTTTCTTGCCACTTATTCTTTGCGGCCATTTGATCTTCAGTATGGAGCCAGCGAAGGCAGCTGTTGATGAAATTCTGCAACCTGTTGGAAATCTTTTTCGTCACACACTGGTCGTTTCTGACGCGTATAGAGGGATAGACTCCATATTAGTGTTAAAAATGCGAATCTTGGTCCTTATGAGAAGTTTGTGCAGGTTTCCGGTTGATGAAGACGTATCTTGCTTTTCCAATTCTGGATGTCTTCGACATCTTCATACGTCCCTCTAGCCTGCAGTTGAAACGATGCTTCCCAGAAAAGTGAAGGAGGCAACCTGTGTTAAATCTCTCCCGGTGCTGGTGATTGGTGCTGGTTAGTGTTGCTGTTGCTGTTAGTTGGTTACCTTCATCACCTTCGTCTTCTGAATGTCCACCTGTAGTCCTATTTTCGCTGCCTCTTCGGCCAGTTTGTTGGTTTTCGCCTGCCTACAAGTCTTTGAGTTTGTGTGACATTAGACATATATCATCTGCGAAATCCAGATCTTCCAGAGTCTTCTTATCGGTCGTTCAGCGTATTCCTGACTCCTCGCTCCCATTGCACAGTCTGAAGCATAGTCCAGTCCACCACAAGAATTGAGAATATCATCGGTGATAAAAGGCAGGCAGCCTTGTCTTACTCCTGTATTCACTTAGAACGCCTCACTGAGTTACCCGTTGTGGACTGCCTGACACATGGAATTGTCATATATTTGTTGAATAAAGTTGATGGACACTTTAATTTTGCTCACTCTTCTATAGAATACCTCTTGTAAAGGAGATTTATACCTGATGAAGTATTAGAGAACAGCTTGAGTGAATGGTAGCAATCTTGGTGAAACTTTGCAGTATTACTTCGTTTTCAGTGATATATTCCCTAGTGTTTGAATGGGAAAGGGGAGTCTCTAAGACACTGAGTTACTGCTAATCATTCGGCTGAATTTTTCAAAGATAGCGATATATAAAGATGAGAATAGTGAGTTCTCCTACAGCCAAAGCTCTATTGCATAGCTCCCTCTTTCGGAGACAAATATATTCTTGAAGGTTCTCTTGCTTTCTATCTGTGTATATAACTACAAATGAGTATCATTCTCATTTACAGAACTGCTTCTTTTCTACATTGCTATGACTGCCTCTCATTCCCTTTATGAATTGGTACTCCTATGCAAGCCCATGCTTTCATCACATTAGAAAACATACAAACACATTCGCGGGTTGAAAATGTACACGCTATAAGTACAGGTATTGATCATTTAGCTTCAGCAGTGACATGATTGCGTGATGCTGTACATCAGTGACTGATTGACATGTGCATTTGGATAACATTAACAACGGTCATCAGTGCTTCCTAGCCGTATCAAAGTGATTTAAACAACGAACGGCCGTCTCTCTTATTTACGGCCAGGATTATCAGTGCTGTTCACAGTTTCGATTCATTCCATAAAGACAGATCTGTTCAAATCACCTGAATCCCAGCTAGCTACTTTGGCGAACTAGTACTTCCATGAAGTGAAATCGCGATTTGTAAATGAATTCACCACTGGTTGATGTGAGTGATATTCATCTGGTGAAATTATTCACTCGACAGCTTATAGACCCATGCATTTATGCTTCATGTCTCAACTGCTATTTATGGCATCAGGTAGATCACATATTTTGCGTGATCCGAATAATTTTGCCTTTGGAAAGGAAAGTGTGGTTGAATTTCATCAGTTTCCAGTATTTTTTCAGCTACAGGTGGCAACAAAAGCAAGATCGGAGAAGCAAGGCAGACTTTCATTACACTGGAATCAGTGTGGACTTAGCATAAAAAACAACACCCTGAACTTCAGCACTAATGTTACATCAGTGGTTTTGTATATTTCAGAGATAAGGCGCGTACATCATGTTAGGCACTCCCAACAGGTTATCGAAGACTTTCATCAACAGCTGCTTCCGTAATGAAGGACAAAAAAGATTAGCACCAAGGAAGTCTGAGAACAAACTAATCAACAAAACGCAGATGGATTAAACAGAAGCTAAGGTACGCATTGAGTGACATAAGGCGCAAAACTGACCGATGGGTGGAACCCAACTGAGAAGAGCTGTAGCGGAGTCTCAGGGTATCACGGATGCAATGGTGTGAGAAGAAAATGAAAGTTTATGGTCAGCTAGGGAGCCGGATGAAGAAGACTGAAGAAGACAAGGCCCTCTGCTGCATCTGGACTCCAGAATAATAATAATAACAACTTAAATTAAGTAATTTGTCTGTTTTACAAACAACCGTGAATGTATATATATATATATATATCACAGACTGCTAGCGGCTGGATGGTCTACGAGCTTGCCATATAACTGGAAGTTTCTGGCTTAGAACCCCAGTCGGTGCGTACTGGTGAAATGTCCTAAAGAAGAAGGACGAAACAGTGATCCAGTACTCTCAGGTTTTCCGACTGTCCCCAACTAAAGTCAATTTGTGATGAAATGTGTATCGAATCATATCCCTGCAAAGTTACATTTGATTACTGTAAATAACTCAATCTATGAATTAATAAAAATCCTAAAAGCTCACTGAGTAGGTTTGAAATGTACAGATTCTGACCATAGAATCAGTTGCTCTTCACTTATGGTTAGGTCTAGAATACTTTTACTCCACAAGTGAGGTTATCTTCATTAATAGGCAAAAAATTAAACATCACAGTTCAAATGGCTCAATTAATTGCATAATCCAACTATTTGAAGCCACAGAAAATTCTAGAATGAAATAAAACTTTTACAAATAATGTTCAAAGAAGCCGCCTTTTAAGCCAACTATTTAAACATTTTAATGTCCATTCAACATTGAACACATAAGCTTTAACTGAGCGTGAACAAATAACTGTGATAATCGTAAACAAATTTGTGTAAATTCTAGTTGATTATCAGGGATGTTTTATTTTCGACTAAAAAAGAGCCTACAAGTGGGATTTTGCAAGTTGCGAAAGAAAATGTTTTCCTCAGTTGATTAATGTGGTAAAAATTTACAAAAGTAGTAAACTAAAAGAGGAATAATAATAATAATATTATTATATGTAGGAAACAGAAATCATCCAATCAGTTGGCAGGAAAATTTGTTTAACAAATTACGTTAATCTGATAGGCTGTTTCCTTTTTTTTAGTATTGGGAGTGAGGACGTGATTCTAGTGAAATCAGGTCGACGCGATGATTAAATCGACATATAATAAAAAAAAAACAATAATAATAATAATTAATTTGCCTCTAGGAATATAGTCTTCACAATCTCATTTTTGTAGTAACCATTTTCCTACAACAAGTTCAATGGATCTGAATAGTCCTTTGATGTTATGCACGGACATATCCATATGTTTAGAACTTCGGTAATGATCATGAAATCAACACTGACTCAGAGAAGTGCTTTATTTATGGATATTATTATATTTACTATTGTGATCTCTAATTTACTGATCCAAATAGTTGGAGATATCAAGGTTCATACTGCTGTTCAAACTAAACACTCACCAAATCAAGAATGGACTGAACGTGGTTCCTCTAGTAGGCGTCATTCATCTATCTCAAAAACCACATCAGTAGGAAACAGTAGATATGGAGTCAACAGTACTAATAATATCACTACTACTACTAATGGTAGTATTAGTAGTGTCAGTAATTACCATGATAATAATAACCCTGACAGAACATTATCGTTTAATTTGAATTCGGAATATACTAGGAATTCTATACGACGCAAAGAATTACACGATCAACCACAATTACCACACAGTTATTGGAATTATTCACCGTATAAAAAGCCATCAGTTGATAGAAATTATCAACATGATTTATCTTATCCACAGTCAGCGACAAGTCTTTATTATAGTTTACCATCTTGGTATAGTTTACGATATAGACGATATCCACGTGAAGAACCTCTGTCTATTTACAATGATAATACACAACTGCCGTGGAATTATAAACCAAAATGTCGGTCGTGTGGTCGACCATTGTTACAAGATTCATTTTGTGCAGATGATTTTGGTAAGTCATTTCATATTGATATTGTAATACAGTAAAGTAACATTTAAAACAATTTTTTTCTCTTTTTCCTTAACGTTCCCCAGTGGAACATAGGGCCTCAAGCTAGTGGCTTGAAGTTTCTGTAGCAGTGCTTATTTTACAGGATGGGGTTGCTAGCCTCATGCCCAACCTTTCTTCTTCACCAGCATTATTTCTGGATTAGCGAGGTAAAGGAGTGCGTCGGCCGGGGATCGAACCCCGGATCATGTGCATGTTCGGCGAGCCTTCTAACCACTATGCCACCGACGCCTTTAAAACAATTAATCCCTTTTATAAATTTGGATAGTGTTATTAGAAAATGGAGACAGACCTACCTTAGTACAGAATCATCCATGTCTTACGTGTAAGGAAGAAAGTCACAGTCAGCTTGAATACTTCTGAGTCGGACAGAAGATACTTCAATAAAGCGATCAATATGTAGAAGGCCTACTTAGACAGGGCTAAATTCAAATTCTCACATCTTCCGTCGACTACAGTGTAACCAAGATAATAATAATAAGATGTTGTGAAGTGCTTATTTCAAAGGATTCAGTGTATTCGTACTGCTGGTGTTATAGAGGGTGAGAAAGAGATACTGATGTATACTCTAATTGAAAATGCATCTTTTAAAATGTTTAAACGAGCTTAGAAGTCGATTAGTTTCCAAACCTACAATCTATTCTGCCCATAAGAAAGATGTTTTCATCCAATTACCATAAAACGGGGAAATTCACAGTAGGATTTTAAGACATAGACTAAACTCGGTCATCCGTAGAAGCTATTATGCAGCTCGGCTTATAATTATTGACAAAGTCAAAGATGCACAGGTGAATATGGCACATCCCATACTATATAGCAATTTACGTGTGTGTGTGTGGACACACATAAATAGGGAGGAGTAATCATGCTTTGCATGCAAGGGTGCGACAGCATATTCTGAAATGATTAGAAAAACAGATGAACCTTTAAAAAACCGTTAGACGCAGGTGTCAGACTACGAATTTCGCCTATAGCTAAATCTCTAATCGATATTAACCACAAGACTGATGTCAAAACAGCTTTTAAGGTTATTTTTAAAAACTGTCAAGAGTGCTTACTGAAATACGCTGAGGCGCTAGCTATTCATAAACTTTAGTCCAACCCCCTTGTGTGTATAAAAACATTTTGTTATTACTCCTAACCTACCTTAATGTTCCTTATCTGATTGGATGAACAAACGTAGCGTTAATTATCCTTATTATTCTTGAATCCTTTTTGTCGCTGTGTCATTTAATTGGCTTTTATTTTCCATAAAAATATACTTAACAAGTAGATGTGTGTGGTATCAGATTCCTCGAAATGTATTGCACGAATACATCACATACCTTTTCAGATAATTTCCGTCTTCTTATACCACCATCAAGGCTAAAATTTAATTAAAATTAGCAGAAAATGACACAGCTGTTTGATTTTCCGAACTTTACCACTTACCTATGAACACGTCATCATCAGGATTGGAGACATTTCAAGCAGACATGAAAGCTAACGAGATCAAAGAGTATAACTGGTGAATCGTTTAAACTCATGGCTAAATTCTACTGTTGTTTACATTGTTAGCTATACGCCTGATCCCTAAACAGGTCTTTTTATATTATTTTGGGATTGAAACGCTTGAATTTTGTTTTCATTGAGCATACAAGTTTTTATTTGCGTTCACAACATATTGGCGCCTCAAAGAAACGTTTGGTTGGGTAGATAATACCAACAAACAGTTTATCATTGCTTCGAAAAAACAATGAATCATCAAATAAGCATACTGTAAAAACACCTTCTCTCATTTCAGTAGTCTAAAACATTTTTATAGAACTCATGGGAAATTCTCCAGTAGATTTTTTTCATGTTGATGTTCTGACAATGATTATAAAATATTGTATAAACTCTAACACGATAAAACAAATTGTCAAGTATGCTTTGCAGGGAATTAATCGGATACCGGTTCGATCCCGAGAGGACATCATTTAGAGAACCACTTAGAAACCAGGTAGTATTGAATAGCTGTATCATACCTCTTCCTTGGAACTCTTCAGCAGTACCCTCCAACTATGGTTTTAACTCAGGACTTTCTGGTTACAAGGTGAGCGCGGAGACAGTTCAGCCCTTAGAAACAGATCTAATGACTGGTGCATCAATTCTAACTTCTTCACCATATATGCCGCAATCACCACTTAATGTTATAGGCAAGTAACTGTTCTCTTTCCTGGCTTGATAGACCCCGCGGTTCACCACTTCTAGCAACAATCATTTTACTACTAAATCTGTTATGCGCTACACTTTGTTGTCGATAGATCACAGGATCAAATTACAATATGTTAAGGACAATAAAACTGTGAATAATACCAGGCGGTTTCCAAATAAAAACTCTGTTATGAGTTTCTTCAAGACAATAATATTCTTTGGCACCTTCAGTGTGCCATATGACGACATCAAACAATTGTATCAGGTCAAGCATTTACATGGTGACAGAAAAAGACTACGAATAGTTAAGTCGTGTGCTTATAAATACACTAATCATTCTTTGCATTATAAGTGGAACAGAGAACTTCCGAGCCACATCTCTATTGCCCTCAGTTCTCAGGTATTACTTTCAACTTGCTTTGCGATTGCCGAAAACCTTCAGCCTCCTCTACTGTTAAGATCATCTTCTTTATGTCCCGCTTGGAGGCCGGGCATATCTTTTTTCATCTAATCCACTCTCGAAGACCAGTAGTGTGATGCCTACAGTAGGTTTCTTCAGAGGATGTTCGATTCGCATCGAATTTCTACTACATTTATGTTGGGTGGGTAGTGGGATGTTTACTGTTTCTTTGCATGTCAGAGATCTCAACTACTCATTATCTTTTCCGAAGGGTCAATTCACTTTCCATAGTGAGACTGTGATGACACTTTTTGATAGAAGTCTGCAACAGGCCGTTAGGAATGCTTTTTGTAACTCGCGTACCCAGCATCTAGACTACATAGAAGTATTCAGTTCATATCATTGTTGAAAACTTGTATCTGGTTTCTTGATCCCAGTTCTGTAAATCTCTACAACGATTCTGGAGTAACAAACGTCCATCTCCCTCTTTTTATCTCATCCCGGTAAGATGTCCCCATGACTGCTGCTTATATTCCAAACGATATGGTTCAGGAAACACAGCTGAAAGAGGCAATTTCGTTTTGCATGGTTAGATGTCTTCATTACTTCTTCTTCTGAGGTCTAGTCTTCGCTAACTCTTCATTCAACATGTCAGTTTTACCTTGTATATCTATGAGTTCATTTAGAATGGGCTACAAATCATCCGCGAAATTCAGATCTCCTAGCGCTGTGCAGTTTGTCCAATGTATTCTAGTCTCCTCACTTCCAGTAGTCTGTGGCATGATATATCCCAACGCACTTAGGAGAACCATATATAGAAAACGTTATCCTACTGGTGTCTTCACTTTAAACGCTTCTGTGAACCTTCCTTTTTATATCATTCCTATGCCTATACATACACGTAGGTTGGTAAATACATTGGGGTCTGACTCTATCGTTGTCAGGGTTTACTGGACAACATAAATTTCATTTTCTCTATACAAATGTGTTTTACTGCATAGTAAACTCTATTAAAGTGTCACTTTGAGTCCTTGTTTAGTCATCTGACATCGGTGGTCGCCCTTGAACGGTAAAAATAGATAAACATGCCTTCTGGAAGCCAACTGGATCGGTGGATCCCTTACTTTAACTCTTCTGTAGCGTATAACTAATTTCAGGGGATAATTGTTATCGCTTAATATTTTAGTGAGGTTTTGTATTTCTTGTTCAAAGGCACACTTTGTGTGAATGCTTCTGAACAACCACTTAACGAACAACTATCTTTAAACTGAAGTGGAGAGAAACTATGATAATTTACATGCTGTCACTTTCAAGTTGACTTCCCATAGACACATTGTCTCATTGACTTGTTTCTGCGGACGAATTATGAGTCGTTACTATCTTCCACGTACTTTACCGATGTGCCATTCTATACTGCATTCATTCGGTATCTGTTGGTTTACCACAGATGAATATCATGTCATCCACATACCTCTTATGAAAATAGACGCGTCCAATTAAGTTGATATAAGAATAAAACTTGTGCACTGTGATAGAGTATAATTCCATTATGGGTAAAATTTATTTTGATAAAGTCCCACAGTGTTTTACAGTTATATTTACTGATGACCTCGTTTCGAGCAGAATTTATTGCTCATAATCATATCAAAGTACTCACGCAACTTTTTAAATTCGTTTATTTAATTCCATTATTTTCCATCGCTTGATTTGATTGGTGGTAGTATTTTCCATATATCCGATATGAGTAATGAGTCATTGCATCCCGCTGCACGTGTTAGGTGTAGACTCGATGAACAAGGATTCAGTAATCAATCTCTTTCTCCACCTACCTTTATCACTTCTCAGAATTTTAACTCTCCCACCAAACCTATTGTGTGATTGTATGTTAATGCGTGCAGTGCAACTGTTGACCTTTTTCCTAAATTACTTATCTTCGCGGGGTTGACCACAACCCAGGTACTCAACATGTTTCGTTAATATTCTTTTCAGAAATCTTTGTTCAGTGTAGCTAAAAACCATTATAATATGAACACAGCTCACATTCCATTCCTACAGGGCATTTCCTTTCACTAGTTAAAATTACAACTATACTGAATCAACGAGATATCTGATCATACTTCCACTTTCCTAATCCTTGAAGTTAGACAAAAATTACAAAGTTGAAAAAAGTGCTGTATTCCTTTTATTTAAAATTTAAAAAATGTAAGTCAATTCATGTTCAACTTTGAAGCTAACAATACAATGACTACTTTCTCTTGAAAATGGGAACAGTTGTTTCCCCCAGGAGGTAATTAATAATTGCTGACAACTTTTGCTTCTCAGCCATTTTTTACATTGGTACTCCTATACGTTTCTTTTTCAGTAAAAA